TTTGGAGTCGGTGAACAAGCAGCGGCCATCAGAACCTACACGTAAACTGAACTCCCAGCAAACTCCCATATTGTACATTATCCGCATATTTTAGATAATGGATGGTATATCCATCCCGCATCGGAAAAACATCAGTTATCCTTGGAACACTCGACCTATAATATTTTCAATCTATTCATTTTCACCATCCAAGGAAACAAACTGGCGCAGAATAGTTGTACGCACGTTACAGTCCATCAAACACAATCATCATATTGGGTGTGCACAAACTTATCATAAGGAGGGCCACATTTTATTTGGTAAAAATATCGCGGATCGCTTTTAGTCTAACATTTAGATAATAACTAAAAAAGACATAGGTGATAAAAGTTTTATCACAACTTTTTAATCTGGAGGGTGAAATTGCTATCATGACTGCGGTAAATTGGTCAGTTCAGGCTCAAATGCACCGGTTTTGCTACGCAAGATATCACGTAGGTGAGATTCACTTTGACTCGTCTTTACACGGTTGGTGGTAAAATCCAATTTGTACATGTCTGCTCACATATGTCGAGAAAAAAACAAGCTGAGCATTCTGATAGCTAACCTTGACATCTCTTGAAATCTGTCTTTGTCCAGCTGGCGTTAACACTCGAGCTGAGAGAGCTGTTGGTGTTGACTGCGAAGTTCAATATCACTTTGCAACCCAATGAGTTACGGTTGCTGGTGGCCTGGAGCATTGTCAAGGTTCACAGAGAAAGGCGAAGAAAGATGCCTGATCTTCTGTTCAATGGCTCCAAAGTCCTGGAAACAAATATGAAACTCATCAGCCAGGGATACAATTTTTGCGACCTACTTCAACAATTGTGCATAGAAGTTACTTTCTGTAAAACCTGTTATGATTTCCTGTAGTGATAAAAACGTTGTGATAGTAAGCTTTGCTTGAACAGTTGTGTTTGGAAAAGCCGCAGCTTATTCCTAAAGCATGTGATGTGCGAATACAATTGGCTTACCACTGCATATTGATTCTGAAGTCTAGTACTCAACATGTTCTGGTGCCGTGTAATATAAAACAAAAATCCACAATCAAGCAGCCAAGAAATTGCAGATAGTTTTGGTATCGACTGTTCCTTATTTGCTATGAATTGCTGAATTTCCTCTCTAAGAGCGTAACGGCGATGGATTGCAATCCCTCGACAGAGCCATCTTACATCATTGCGATACCAAACATCTACGCATTCACCTTGGATGTCGTGCCGAAACTGTTGAAACTGGCGATGAAACAGGGCTTTAGATCGAAGAGGTTTGACAGCATTTAGCATTGGCTTCATACCATGATCAAACCTGTTGTTTGGCAAACATAACTGATTAGTATATGACGCAGTGGAGTTTAATCACTTTGTCCCCCACTTCGCTGGGTTTGTTACAGACAGCTTTTGCTAATACAAAGTGCTCGCTAGTCATGGGGCACGTCAGTAATGACGCTTGGGATTGGAGGGAGGTTTCGGTGTGGCTACATCCAATCCCTGCACTCCATGAGCGACGGTTTCGTCTTTGTTTAGACTCATCAGGTAGAGATAGCCGAGCTGGGAGTGGAACTCGGCGCGTAGTGCTTGGCCGCTATCGCCATGATCACTAGGCCATTGAGTTCCGCAAGCATTGTTTGACACGGCGGTTAGAAATGTTTGAGATTTTCTACATGATAGCTTAATGTCAATAATGGCAGAAGCAGATTTCGAAGCAAATGACTATACTCCTGGTGCGTCCTTGAGAAGTTGCAGGGCAAGGCGTTCTTTATTCAGAGATATTTCATAAGTAACTCTTTTCGAACAAACGAGAAGCTGCGTAGTGTCAGATGTATCAATACCTTCATCATAGGCTAAAGAAAAAGTCCACATTGCACTCCTTTTGCTTCTAATTCTGTCTTCATATCCGTGGCGTATCCTCAATTTTGCCCAGGATAATGGGCAAACTTTCAATTTAATGGAACATATGAATTCCACAACTTTCGTCAAACATTATGTGACAACTTCATCAGCACTAAATGGATTGCATTGCTTTCTTATCAGTTTTGCCATCTCATAATTTACTTTCGTTGTATTTTTATTCGACCAACTGATAATTACACTCACGCTTTTCTGTGAGGTTAATCCAGCTTCCAATTGCTTCACCTTCTCAACTGGTTCATTTTTGATTAACCTGTCAATTAAACTGCTTCGTTTGGTAGTGCAGCATGAAAGTAAATTCCTTGAAAACAACCAAATATTCAAGAAAATCAAGCACACACTTGTTCACTTGTTCAGTGAAAAGGTACTCTGGTTTCCAATTTTCCTTGAAGCGGCTGTCTTCGTTATCAACTATACTTTTTGTACTCAGATTCTGGACTCTAGTTCAGGATTGACAATCATCTAAATGAGTTAAATGGTCACCCTTTTTGTTATTTAGTTTATTTAAAACCCCTACGTAAAGGACTTTTAAAAGTGGAGTGAACTTGTGTTGACTTTGGTGAAATTAAATAATTAAAAGTGCGAAACAGTTACGTCTAAATGTGTACATCAAATTATATTACCCCACAAGAAAATTTAGAAACTGTGGTGACCTATAAACAAAAATGCCTTTCTCAAAACGGACGAGCTTTAGCTAATCCCATCTTATTACTTTTTAAGTTAGTGAAGCTTCATTTAGTAAATGCACGATTGACTTTTCTTAGTTTGTTAAAATAAGTAGTACTATATGCTTGGTTTTTACCAACATCTAATGCCTTTGAATTCTATACTAACAAAGTCCTTAATTTTTAGTTATCTACATAATGTTGTCCATACGGAAAAATTAAATCTTTAATTTATTTTTTTAATGATGCGGCCGCGGGTAAGTTGAAATGTCTATGCGGGTGGCATTTGGACCGCGGACCGGCCTTTGGACAGTCCTGCACTATAGCAACACAAAGCCTGACCAGTATTAGGCGTGCGGCCCTTCACGCTATTCCGCGCTATTTGTCGTTTGCCTGTGATCGCAAACCAATTTTTGCTGTTGCAGCCAATAGTCTTTCTGTACATAGCACACTAGATGTTGGATGCACTCCATGCTTTGAACAATTCGGGATTGGCTATTAGACCTATCGTTGCATTGTAACCCAAAGGAAAGACTTCAACCACTTAAACCTGAAGGAGACGATTAGACTGCTGCATTTTCCGGAAAGCTATGGACAAGGAAAGGCGGCGGAACAGTTTAGTGTTAGTTTGACCACCGTTAACGAAATGCAGCAGCATAAGGATGAGTACTTAGAGAGAAACCATAATGAAAGAGGTGATCTAAGGTGGAAGAGGCGGAAAACGTCACACGTTAAAGTCAATGCATCTACGATGAAAGCAGTTAATGCTCGAAACTACAGACCGATGATTTAAGAAACCGGTAAAACTATTTTTAACTGAATTTGGGGTTGCAGATTTTATGCATCTAATGATTGGCTGAAGAAGTTTTAATTAGGACATAATATTGAATAAGAAGATTTTGTAGTGAGTCATATGAAGTTTCTGAAGAGTTTATTCAAGAACTCCTCGAAAAAGCCGATTTCAGCAAGGGTTTTGGCGATACTGAAATTTTTAAACCCAGACGAGTGCGGTATATTTTACTGAGAGTTGCCTGGCAGGATTCTTGTTACAACGATTGAAAAATGTAGGAGCGGAAAGCATTCCAAAGAACGTTTTACATTTAGCTATTCGCTGGCTCAATTGGAGAGAAGTTAAAGTTTTGATCATTGGAAAGTAAGCTAAAATAGTTGTTCAATATATGAGTGCTGCAAAACTTCCAGTCATATTGGGATGAAACAATTCGGCATGCATGATAGCTGCCATACTTGAAAGTAGAGAAGAAAAATTGACGAAAAAATGACGAAAAAGAAAAGATTCATTCTAATAACAGTGGATGATGGTTACAGTCCGATCCACGTAAATTATCTCCCGAACATTATACCGAAATATCTGCGTCCAACTATGACCTAAAGACTTCAACCTCCAGACTAAGGAGCCATCAAATATTCAAAACACATTTCCAACCCCAGCTCATACAATGCTTATAGAAAAACCGAATAACATTTAGCTGCGTGCAGCAATAACTTCATCTACTTTTTCAGTTAATGCTCTGAATGCTGTGTTTTTGGTCAGTTCTCTCTAACACTAATGGCAGCCAGAAACGAATGTTTGCATCAAGAAAGTTGGATTCGTTTAAATTGAGCAGGACGCTTTTGGTTTAACACATTTCATCTAAGACTACGTATTTTTGAGAGAATAGATTCGCAAGGATTTACTGAAATGGATGATGACTTGAAAATTTGCATAGAACCAGCATAAGATGCTATTTCATAGATTTACTAACTGCGGCCCACTTCTACGGCAGCAAACAGGAAAGGCCTGTTAATCAGGAAAAACTAATTGTAGATGACATGTGAACCACAGAACCCAAAACGGACTGATGTCGGCCATTTATTCATGGGATTTAAGTGATTTGCTGCTGTAAAATGTCTAAGATTACCAAGTAGGGCATTTTATGCTGAGAGCGCTATTTCTTTTATCTTGGGATAATAGAGAAACAATGCTAGGATTTCTCTTCAAAAATTATTTAACATGCAAAACACATACTGCCTTTTACTTAGCATAACACTTTATAGTTGTACTGCGTTTACCATTACGCTAGACCTCATCTAATGTGTACGAAACCGGTTTAGTTGCGACAGAATTATATCCTATACTACGCACAAAGGGAAAGTAGGTTGCGCTAAATTTTGTTGTGGAGCCTGCGTATGTTGAGCACATATCTATGTTGACCACTTTGAACCAGTCACTAGGGTGTTCAACTACTATATATTATAAAATTAGTTGAAGCAATTAAGTAATGAAGCCAAAATATGTCACACGGAATCAGTACCTCGTAATAAGATAAGCAGACATAACTGGTGTTGAACAATGGACAATCTTCGTTTTAATTATCACGCACACGTCTTTTTCTCTGCTTAAACATTCTAGACGAAAAAGTAATTTGTAAGTTCATCCTTAGACAACCAATATTGTTGTTATTCAGTTGTTTTGATAGTGAGAGAAATGATTTCGTTACTTTTTAGACTGCTTTAGACTAATAGCTATTTTTCGTACGAACCAACATGTTTCTCTTAGCGAAACGCAAACTAACTAAATATCTTTGTTGTAGTGTCAGTGAGAAGTACCAGCGATGGAACAGAATGTAAGTTCAGGTTCACTGGACCGGCCCCTGCGTAAGATAAGCAGGTGCAGAACACAGATTTCCTTTTCAAAATCGATTCTCTCTTGATAAATTCCATGGCCTACATTTGAACTAGTCCGAGAACGTTGTGAAGTTAAGGTAGAATTCACGGCAATAATGTTTGAAACCGTAGAGTTAGATCGCTTCTGCTTGTTCCCACATCATAGCTCTGCGCATGGCTCCCTTGTGCGTAGATCTAATGTTGACATTTAAGCTTACTTGCGCATGCGTAAACCACTAATTATTCAGCATGCAGATATACCTCCATGAGTCAGCCATTTCAAAGCAATAGATATGCCGAAATCCCACACTTTTTGTGGAGAGCCTAGGTACAACCTTGCACTTTAAATTATTTAAGAGCAAACGTAGCTTATGATAAAATCGATTGCGCATAATTTATTAGATCAAACCCATTATTTCCGAGTTATGTTACAATGTTACTACACTTCAACTCTGTTCCATTTTGCGATAAAGGCTACATTGTGGCTCACTTAAGTTATGTTTAGTTACCCGAAGCGACAGGGGGCAGCCGATGCCGTACTCGCCCCCATCATATGTCATGCTCCACTCGACAACCTGTACACACCAAAGATGGTCGAATGCACATTAATTCCTTAAGACCGATCGCAACTTACACTTTGATGACGGACACGTTCTGATACTTAGATTCCCCCTTCACACATCACACGTGGATACCGAAAACGTTTAAATGCCCTACCAGAAAAAATATCTCGCATGTGAATGTTTCGAGGTGCAAATCAGTTACGTCTGAAAGAGCTACCGGAACAATTACCCTGAAAAATTATGTACATTTAGGATGTTAAATTAGGATTTTAAATTGATAACACAGATTGTGTCTTGCATAAGGAACACTACTAAACACATTTTAACAAATGGGATGTTAGATTTAACTAAAGCGAATGTAAGGCTTCTCAAAGTTAAGGAGGAATATAACTAATATACTAAAAGACCACTGTATTAATTGCAAACTAAACGCTACCTAAAAATCTGGATTCTTACTCTCAGTATCAATAAAGGATACTATGGGTAAGTTTGTGAATTACACCTTAATTTCATATGTATTAAAAAAATTACAGTACAGTGAAGAAGCGTCGTAGAGTACGTACGAATGTATTCACGTCGGTGTCATTAGCCCTTGCATAAGCGTTTGGGCACAACCCACAATTAGACGCATTATTTACATACGCCGCCCCTTTGCCTATGTACGGTTCAATTGTCTGGAAATAGTTGCTAGTATATCCGATCTCATTTCCAAATGCTGTCAAGGATGTCAGACCTGGTACACGTCTATTCTAAATAAATAGTATTTTAGGTAGAAATTCCTCACATCTAGACTCACTCAGACAGCAATCACACGCCCAGAAAAGCACTGTATGCGCGTGTCATCCTTTCGGGAATCGTCAGCAGTGCGCATTCCATCGGACCCTGGTAGGGCTCGAACACGCAACTCGACTATTTCCAGTCGGTGGTTGAGACCACTGAGCTACAGGGGATGGAAACGGCCATCGTAAATGAGTTACTAGATGGGATATAGCGCCGGTCATTATTCACCGACTTGCACTTTACTACCGTGCAGAGGACAGGGTAGCCCCTACACCAATAGAATTTTACGCCACTGACGACAATGTACCCTATAGTTATCGTAGGCTTTTTTCTTTGTTTAGGCTGGTTACATGACATTAGTGGCATGAGAAAAATAAACGGTAAGTGTAACGTGTTGTCCATCAACGGTAGATGCATAATATGCCGACAAATGTTTCTACACATGCAGTTTTATTATACGTACCGTCATAAAGATTTACATATTCTCATGGGGGACAATAACTAGTGTTCATTTTACATTATATTCATTTAGTCGACTACAACAAGACACATATGATCAGAGGTAAATACACACGTCCTCCAAGATACACAGCATTGTAGTGCGCACATGCAAGTTAAAACTTACTTATATATTTGAGTATGCCAAAATATTGATGTGTACGTTCTGTTACAGTGAAGGGCCTACAACCAGGTTAGTAAAATGACGCTTGTATGCCAGCAGAATATCCGCACAATTTGATATTCTGTATAACAATTTAAAATGTTACATCTCATATTTTTGACGAGCAAATTTAGCAGTTTTCTAATACTGCACAGAAGCCAATCGATAAAAATGTTAATACTGAAAATATGTTAAGAGAGATTTTCTTCACTGTCTAGTTATTACACTTATATATAAATGAATCTAAATTCCCAATTTTTATGTCAGTAGAATGCATGGATGCAAATGTGACATTCGCATAGCTCAAGAGTTTTAGTCGGCAAACCATACTAGTGTAGAATTACACAAAATTGGTTAATCCGGTGCCGAAAAATTATACTGGAGTCCTAATGATATGCTGTCACTCACATATGCAACTAGTTTGCAAACGAGTCTGTTGCCCTTAGTTATACCAAGCTATTCAATATAACATACATAATAAAACGCTTACGGATTTAATTAACGCTCTCTTGCAAGTAATAAAACCTCGGTGGGCAAAACTCGTTTATAATGTATAGCAGACGGGATAAGCTAATCTGTAATTAATGACCATCAAACAACACCCCAATAACTCAATAACTCAATTGCATTTCCAAGAAGTAGTGAAACATAACGACACATTATTGTGTTGCCATTTACACCACAAGATTTCCTCTATTGTGACTAAACTATCATGTTTACTTGATTTGGTCTGCACACATGACACCCTAAAGGAAAAGTGATTACACGATCACACCTTCTGACGTCATAGGATCTGAAGGTGCATTAAAATTACTTGTCAATTATTATGAGAATATTGGACGAAAATTTGTGAGGCATTCGTTAAGGTATGCACAATGTTTAGCGTGTAGACCATAGTAAATAACAAAAAACAATAAATTATCCATTACCAGACCTTACACATTTGAGTAAAAATTTGTAGTGCTAATTTACATGTTAATTTAGACTAAGCATTATTCTGGGCATTTGTGCGTGTGAAATCGAATAAAACGGATTTGTGTATATAGTGGACAACAACGAGGAATCAATTCAATATTTGGATAGTCTTCTACAAATTGGTGAGGTTGATCAGCAGCAGTTGAATTCATCGACACGTACGACACAAATGAAGACATCAGTCAGGATTTGCACAATCAAAGCAACGAATCAGTTGAGGATGGTATAACTTATAACTTAGTGCACACAAACCACATTGCACGGTAAAAAGTCGGACAGAAAGGGATACTAAAGCTAAAGTGAATTTATTTATGTAATTCTACAGAACCCCGGAGGCCGCGAAAGCTAAAAATTCGGTTTCGAGGTAAGCAATGTTTTTAAAAATTCCATGGATAATATTACTGAATCTATAGTTGGCAGACGGTTTAACGTTTAAATCAATGTGTTTTCAAACAGAAAAAACAGTAAGATCGAGTAAGTTTACGTTAAGTGAATCTAAATGAAACTGCTGCATATGTTAGATATGTTCAAAAACACTTAAATTATGTAGACCAGCAGCCGTCCCCCATGTCTCACTGGCTTAAGCTGCTGGCTAATTGGCTTCAGCCTCTAGCGGTCATGGGTTCGATCCCCAGAAGGGGACATAGGGAATGTGCATAACTGAGGAGTCTCGATATAGGGAAAAGCATCTGGCACTTTTCCGGATTGTGGCCAAGCTATGTAGCTTGTGTGTTGTTGAGATGAATACGATAAGAAGACAATTAAATATTAAAAAATGTCCATAATTCTTCTTTGGTAAATATATATAAGCTACCCTTTCTTTAACTAATGCCAGATTCCACATTACTTTTGGTTTTGAATAGAAGCAAATGTTTTAGTTAAATTAACGTACAGTACCGCTGCTGAATGTTAGGAAGTTTGGCTACGAACTCTTGGCTGTAATTACAGAATATTTGGTGACTAAGGCATGTTAAGTCATTTTTCATCTGATGGTTAGATAGCATTTTATGCATAGATCTTTTGGATGGTTTGTCCATCTTCCTTTATCTGTTATTTACGCACAGGTGACATCATATATATGTGAATGTGAACTCTGTATGAAGTGATTGCATGTTACGCATTTACGTCCAATGTTCTAACAGTCAAACTAACATCATCGTTCAAATATCTCTTGAGTGTTACACTGTTAGGCAGTATCCTGCCGATTAGAGGGATAGCCGGCCACCCCATTTATGCCCCTTTTTGATGTTTCACGACGCTAAAAGTAAAATAAATATAAATATTTTACTACTTGCTGATGTATGTAAAACGCAGGATACATCGTTCAGACAGTCAGTATTTACTTATACATCTTTCCTTTCTAATAGCATCGTGCTTTAATGCAGCGCAACTGACTACTAGCGTGCTAATGTGTAGTAGATTTTATAAACTAGCCTTACTAAATGAGAACTAGTAGGGAGGAATTTCGGCTACTTATAAGAATTTTGATTTAGTCTTAAAGATTCAGTAATGTGTAATCCCACGTTGGATATTGAATTTCGTTTCTGTTGTTAGTATGGGTATAAAGTAGAAGTGCTTCAAGATTACATGTTAATTCTGTACTGGAAAAATGATCAATTTTGACAAAATGTTCTCAATGGGACGGCCAGGGGCATACCAAACGAGCCCTGAAGGCGCTGTAATATTTAATTCTTCGGACAACTCGCAACATTGGGCTTCGTGCGGTCCAACTAGGCCGGTGGCCGAGTGGTCTGCACGTTTGCTCTGCAACCATAAGGTCACCGGTTCGAATCCGTGTAGGGGTGAGCGTCCTCGCGGTATACTCAGCTCCGCGCGCGACTGGTGGTGATCGCGCGGCAGTGAAGCGCCGTTACTGCGTACAGCTGACACTTTATTATTATTTTTATTATTTTGCACCCTAATGTGCATTTCCTGTACCTTTCTGTTCACTTGGACATGGTGTATCAGTAATGTTTCGCTAAATTGGCTGTTTGTAAGGCAAGATCTAATGTGATAGGACGCTACGCAAAGTAATTTACGTTTATGTGTAATTTCAGTTGCAAATACAAATGAAATGGTTGTCGGTGAGCATCTATGTTTGTAAACGTTAAGTTTCTGTAGTCAACCAATTGGCTTTGTCAATAGTTTTCATATTTCTACTTTTGAATAATAGAAGCACGGGCCGTGCGTTGAATTGTTGTACTGCAAGCAAAGTGAATGCAACCAATGTGAATAGTTTTCATGGATTTAGATGCTCGATAAATTTCCCCTGGTGTTTAAATCCTTTAGCAAATCGTCTCGGGATGAGATACTTGCGAAACTTAGTCCGATGCCTCTTTTATCGCGCCAGGACCATCTGCAGCAATGAGAGGATGGACAGTGAAACTCAGCTTGTTCTCAGCACATTGCAGGAGAATGGATATCCTCCCCAGTTCATTAAACAGCGATGCACACTGTCGCAATCTACCATTGCTGTCTCTCCAGTATAGAAAAAGTACGCCACCCTTACCGTACCTTTTAAATAGCATATTGCTTCTGAGCTGCTGATGAGAAAACTCTCCATCACAATGGCGTAGAGATTTTCCTCGGTCAACCCTACATTACTTGTCGAAACCAGATCGCTGATTTCGCAAATCCTGTAGGATGGACTCCCGGTCCGTACCGAATCTTTCCTTCTATATCAATTTACTTGAACCTGTGGTGTATGCTGCCTTGGACATACGACCAGGCGCCTGTCGAAAAGCATCGTTGAACACTGTCCTGCTTCGTTAAGAAAAAGCACCGGAAGCAACATCACAATTTCGATACCTGTGTACTGGTTAAAACAGGGCACCAGACGCAGGCAATTGACTCATTCAAATTCATGTATACCTTCCAGAAACGGTACTCTAAAGGACCTAAGTAACGCTTGTTAATAACAGCCGAGGACATTGCAATCAGGGTTTTGAAACCAGATCTGTGCATACAATGGACTATGCGCAAATTTTTGTCCCACCTTGGCCATGAACGCACTTCGAGGAGAGTTCGTCATCTCAGACATGATAGGCGATCAGAATTTGTCACCGTGTGTTGTTTGTCGGAGCGGCCTTCATAGACTTACTAAGACATTGATCGTTGACCGGTCATGCCCAGCGAATAGATTTTGTGGATTCCGTGGTTCTTGTTAATTTGGGCATATGTTTCACTAGCCAATCGGTTTTCTAATTTTGCTCTATACATTTAAATGCCTGATAAGATTTATGGAAAAGAATATTCTTTGTGCAAATTATGAATACAGAAATGTTAAATGTATCTCCCGCTTTAGATCAAACCACAGGCAAAATTACCGGCAGATAATTAACAATGAACCCCAGTAGGATTATGTTAGTGCTACGTAGAACCTAAGGTTTATGGGGTAACGAGCATCTTATACAATAAAGCGATGATTTTCGAAATTCATGAAGTCAGCTTAAACTAGTAACTGTAAATTATGGCATAAAATGTGCTTGTGTAATATAATTCCCATAGGTAAACAGATGCACAAATTTGCAGGGTTAATTTATTTGCTTGACAAACGTCAGTAAGCGTCACCACACCACTCGTTGTGACATTGTTAGTATTGAGATTTGTACCAATTACGGGTATAGCTTTAGCATATATCGTGAGCCTCGTGATGCCGCATTCATGATGACTCTTCATCGCAGCTGAGATAAAGCAAAGCTAAATAAAAGACATTCTTCTTTATTCGGATGAATCACTTCCGTTACTTTGCTGCATATCCTTTGTCATTGTTTGCGTGTCTGCTTTCCCTTGCATTCAAGGTTACTTGTTTGATATTCCCGGTGTGATAGTACTTTGTCTGAATTTTGTCAAGGTGCCCACCTGTCTATCATTCTTCAACGTGATTACTGGTTCTAGTATACTATAAATCGTGGCTGGAGGGGGTC